TGGCGAAGTATATACCTTTCGCGATAATGGTTTTTCTGTAATTTTCTAACGTTATTTTGTTGCTTTCAGGCAGTAATAGATGGTGGGTATTGAAAATGCGCATAAATAACTGAAAGCTTTTTCTTGGCAATGCGTTCGCATTCGCAAGAATTTCAATAGTAAATGTAGCCGCTTGGCAGACGATGTGTCCGTTGTAGCTAGCTATAGCTTACCTATCATTTCGCACATTATTAAATCCTTCAGGTTACAAAGAACGCGTTAATAGACACTGCAACTAATGTATCCGTTAGTTTTATATATCCAGAGGTTTTTATTTTTGTTTTATAAATATCTATGTGTAAGTGTAGTTTCTTAAGGAAGACAATCATGATAAGGTCGTCAGTCCTTGTTGAACACGTACCTTCACTCTTCCCTATTCTGAACGAATCTTATTCGCATTCTCCTAAAACTATTAGAACACCCCACATCCTTAACTATTTGCGAATTGTAATCTAATCTAGGTCTACCTCTACTCCTTTGCACTCCTGTTTCTGCTTCCAATATGTCTCTAATTAACCCTTCACGTCTGAGAAGGCGTCCTACCAACCTATCTCACCTATTTATTATTGACTTTCATAGGGCTTTCTGTTCTATTAATACTCTTCCTAGAACGTCCTCTTATAAAATGTCTCCTTTTTTGTTTATTATATTACTGAGACACTTCGAGTATTATCGCCAAAAATGTGCCCAAAATCATCTCATTTAGGACATTCTCTGCCCTTCTGAATTCCTTTTCTGTTTCTAATATGTTTCTGATAAGCCCTCCAAGTCTAGAAAGGTGCCATACCAATCTGGTAGTAATTGACGTTAATCAGATAGTAATTTCCGTGCCTACCGCTTGTTCTACCGCCAATTATTCTAACTGGGCTTCATAAATTTATTGTCTATCAGTAAAGAGATGGCTATACTTATCTGATCTGTTTCAGTTATTTTTGCACAATCGGCACATCCTCTTTTGTAACAAATGTGTGTTGTTAAGGTTGTAATTTGTTACTTCAACTTTTCTGTAGGTATACCTCAAATATCTGAAATTAGAAAACGCTATTAATTGTGCGTATAATCCCAGCAGATGGTACATGGTACATGATACGTGTGCATGTATCTTCGTATTTGTGAACTATGAAGGTACAGAACGGGTATAAAAATTTGTGGCACATTTCCCATGCATTCGGCATCTGTTTGAAGCAGTATGAAACTCATACAAAGAACGAAAAGCATCGGGATAAGTAATAAATGTAAATTATTTTAATAACAGATTGTGTATAAATACATTGATTTTATATCAGGGATTTGTATTGACCTTCTGAACCTTGGAAGTAGATAAGTACGTAATACAAAACGTTTTGAAATTATTATAGAATTCGCTATATTTTACGTAATTATCTAAGATTTTTAAAAATAATATATACCCTTTTGGTAGATTTCTTTGGATATCTATATCTGTTAGGTGCACAGAACACGTTAAATACTAAGTGGTTTGAAGTAAAGGTGGCTTCTATTATTAAGTGTTAGTTAGTACTAGGTAGACGTGTATAAAAATAAATAGAGGTGTTGCAGATGTTTGTCAACCTTCTGGAGTTGTTTCCGATTTCACATTCTGTTAGAAAATAGACAACAAGAAAACAGTAGTTACGAGTATGTTAATCTACCTAATACTACTTGCACTTGCAGCCCCCTTTCAATTTGCTACTGTGTTACTAAAAGCTATTAATTATTTACATTTAAATAAAAGGCGATTTGTAGATAGGTAAGCGTTAGAAGTAGATACAACTTGTATCATCGTAAATTGTAACATTCATCTTAAATTGGCCGGAAATTTAATATAATAAATACAGCTACAGTTTATGTTCGCAGAAGTGAAAAATTACCGATAACGTTATGAAAATGGAGACAGTTTAGGTATTACTTTATTATAATGACCATATTATTGTGATTTGTTGAAGTAGATGTTCTCTGCTTTAGCATTTCGAATAATTGCTTTTGTTTCAAAACTGTTTGAACATTACAAATGGTATTTGCTAATTTCTCGGTAATCACGCTTCGAAATTCTGCTAGTTTTATAGTACAAAAAAGGTAGTTTGATCGTTTCAAATTTTAAGGTCGTTTCTCGAAAGCAACTAGCAGTAAAACAGTCACGATTTACTTTTTCTAAAGTCATTCCTGAAAAGTCATCACAGTAAAACTATATACTAAATTCGTTTTACGATCAATAAAAATGTGTAATTGGTTGCGTTAAAAACTGTAACTACCTTGCTAATTACTTAGGTAATTATCTGTGTATGTATGTATACATGTCTGTAGCCGAGGTCTCGTTCCTTCGTCTGAAATTTATGGAAAACAGAAAACCTCCTGTTTCAGCCCTGACGATGTCCCGTATAATGATGACGAAACTTATTCGGTAGACAACATGGAAATCCACAATGTTAAGTGTAACCGATACTAATTCAGTTTTGCCAACGTTTTTCCCTATTTGTTAAATAGCACTAGACAATAAGTAAAAATATGCCCATCAAGTTTTCCTTTTAAGTATTTAAATGGTAAACAACAGTTGCCACATTTAGCGTTTTTCACCGAAGTGCTGAGTGAATAGAGCGAATGACCGGCTACGTTTATGGCTTCGTCAAACAAATAATCGACTAGACCGATTACCTTCTGGTCACTAATTGGAAAAAGAAGAAGACGCTGCAACAGTTTTTCTACGTTAATCCACCATTTCCAAGTTTTATTGCTTTCTGTGTCGTTGCGTTGAATACTATTCATCAAAATGGTTTATTTATTTAATTAAATACAAATATCTTCAATTATTTTTTATACCATATCACCATCATCATCATTATCATAAGGTCGTCAGTCCACAACACCAAGAAATTAGTTTGACGCCTATTTCTGCGTGTGCGTATGGCTGTCTGTGGTTCCATAGTCAGTTGGCCCATTAACTGACTGATTTTGATGCAATTTATTTAGTTCGAAAGCCTATACTGTCGTCCTGATGTCTCGCTATTGCAACGTTTTTTACTGAAGACGATATAAGGACTCTTTTCAACATGATGTTGACATTGGTATGTTGTCAGGCTTCTTCATTTTTATCAGGCATAGTTGTAAAGAATAAGAAGTGAAATTGGTTTCTTTTGTGCGCGCGGTTGTATAATGTTGATATTTACATACATTTTGTAAAAATAATGAAAGAAAACGTGCTGAAAAGGAAGTCATCACGGCATCTAAGGATAAGGAAGTAGTTTATGTTGGCGTGGTTCCAGTTTTACACAGACATTTTAGTACGAAGTTCCGCGTCATATTGCGGAAATATTTTAATTCAAAGCGAAAAAAGTGCTTTTTTTACTTGGTAAACTCGTGCAGGTCGATAAACTTGGCTAACAATAGGCTAATGGCCGTTACGCATTAACTGCTGAATTGGTATACACAACCAGACGTAAAAGTTGCTTTCGTTAAATTTCTAAGCACCTACATTTATTTTAAACCGAAAAAGCTGTAAACAAATTTTAAAAACAGCGTGCTTTAAAAGCTCTTTAACATTTTCGAAAAATGTAATAAAACTTTCGACAGCGCAGGGTTGATAAAACAACTATGTTTTTCTACATAAAGTCGAAGATTTACCTAATTAAACATCAGCGTAAATGTAAAAAAACCAACGTAAAATCTAAAAGTTGTCCTTTTGTTTGATTTGAATAACCATTGCTGTTTAACTAATTCTTTAATTGATATTCACGCTCACGCTTTACTGCCCGGATGGTAAACGATTTTGTGGCTGGTTTATAAATCAACAGACTCGGGAAGTTTGATAGCTCATCAGTGCCCCAAAGTCAATATTTACACGGGCAATATCTCGAAATAGGATCTTTTATTTGGTCTAGTCTAGTAGACTCTGTTTTGGTTGTAAAATATTTGATAACAAATTGTTTACTGGAATGTTTAGGGGGACCAAATTTTATCAAAATCTTCTGTAGCATGGAGGGTTAGTAAATCAAGCGATCGGAAAGAATATTTTATGTACCTTTTCATTCATCGTCATCATCATAAGGTCATCAGTCCTAAGACTGGTTGGACACGTACCTCCACTCTTTCCTATCCTGAGCTAAACTTCGCATTTCCCTAAAACTAGAATAGGTCACATCCTTGACTATTTGCGAACAGTAATCTAATCTAGGTCTACCTTTACCCCTCCTAACTCCTGTTTCTGCCTCTAATATGTCTCTGACTAGACCTTCATGCATGAGAAGGTGTCCTACCAACCTATCTCGCCTATTTTTTATTGACTTCCATAGAGTCCTCTGTTCTCCTATTCTTTCTAGTACCTCTTCATTTCTAACCTTTTCTACCCACGATATCCTCATCATCCGCCTACAACACCACATTTCGAACGCTTCTAACCTTTTCTTTTCCGCCGCGCCCACTGTCCATGTTTCGCACCCGTACAACGCCGTGCTCCAAACATACACCTTTAACAACCTTTTTCGAATTTCTAAATTAACCGTTCGCGAGCATAGAAGTGACTTCTTTTTATTAAATGCGACACGACCCTGCGCTATCCTCTGCTTTATATCCCTACTACTCCTTCCATCCTCACTTATCTGACTTCCTAGGTATCTAAAATCAGCCACTTCTTCTAATTTTTCGTCTCCTATTTTTATATTCGCTCTTTCCCTACTTTTTCATTGCATAATAATAATTAAAGTCTGCTTGTTACTCAATAGTAAAATTAAAATAAAAACACAATAAATAATATAATAGAAGGTGGAGATTTCTGGTTCGACCTTAATATTAATTAGATGGCATTGTTTGTACGTCATCCATCAAGCAAGCGCTTTCACGAGATCGTAATCAGTTTTTGTGTTGATTCCATGCACCAGACTCTGGTGCATCACGAACATTTATATCTCATTAGTTTCGCAGACCGTGTCGAAGTCATGATTCCGTTCCTCTACATTCCTGTTTCTCTTTAGATTGCAGATACGGTACGTGATGCCCTCGGCGCGGCTCACCCTCCGCGAGGAGGACGTCGTCAGGCTCACCCTCGAGTTCCTTCACAATCGGGAACTTCACATCTCTCAGCTGAGCCTCGAACGAGAAACTGGAGTCATTAACGGCTGCTACTCAGACGATCTCCTCTTCCTGCGACAACTTATCCTGGACGGACAATGGGACGACGTGCTCGAGTTCATTCAACCCTTAGAGGCTCTACCCACTTTTAATATGCGAAAGTTCACGTACACCATCCTCAGGCATAAATACATTGAGTTGCTGTGTATTAAGTCGGAAGCTAATGTGCAAGGGAGCAGTGTCGATAATGCAGTCGAGGAGGTCGTCAAGGTGTTGAACGAACTCGAAAAGTTCGCGCCCTCGAAAGAGGAGTATTCCGGTTTGTGCCTGCTGTTGACTCTGCCGCGACTTACCGACCATTTGCAATACAAGGACTGGAATCCGTCGAACGCGCGTGTTCAGTGTTTTCGCGAAGTGTACCCTCTAGTGGTCGAATTTTTACCGGGCGACAAAAAGAACTTGAACGGTCTAGCGTGCGCGAAAAACGACAGACTCATCCAGCTCATAATCAAGGGCGTTTTGTACGAATCGTGCGTGAACTATTGCCAAGCGAAAGCTACGGGTTCGAAAGAATCTCAAACGCAAGAGATGAGTTTTGCGAAACTGCTCGACGGTACGGTCGGATTCAGCGATTCGGATCTAAGTCTTCTGTCGTGGCTCCAGAGTATACCATCGGAAACGTTTTCGGTTCCTTTCGAACAACGGACTCTCAATGTTGACGTAGAGCGTTTAGACAGGCCATCTTTAGAAACGTCGTGGACGGAACACATGCTTATTACGCCGATCAAACCAAAGACCTTTCCCCATTCGGCTATGCCCTTCACTAGGCCCAGATCGGCTGCTGATATTATGACGCGTTCCTTAATGCCTGCTCTGGACAGCTACGCGACCAATCCCGGAAACCCCGGTCCCGTGAGCAACCAAAGAAATATGGCTCATAGTATGAGCGACGTGAATTCGAACAGTCCCATGTCCCGGTCCAGTTTTGCCAGTTTCCATCTGACCGGGATGAAAAATACCAAACAGATGAATTCGTCAGTTGATAGGCTGTTCGAAAATGACGGGGACGTTTTTTTGAGTAACAGTTATGCCGATTTTCAATTGCTTCCTGCGATCCAGGAACAAACGAGTACACCGACAGTGAACTCGAGCTCAAATGTCACAGTCCAAAACCAGAATTGCAAAAGTCCTGAGAGGAAGTTGTCCGCGGCTTCCACTCCCGAGCACAAAGGTCGGGATTCTCCTGCGTCCCTTGGAACCGCAAGATCTTCCCGACGGGATTCGTTGAACGAAAAGCCGATGAATAGTTCAACAAATCCACCTGTAAATACTCAAAACGCCTCCGCTGCACCATGTGCCGAGCCTTTGCTGGAGCAGAGTTTTCAAGGAGACCTGCTCAAAGAGTTTCAGAAGCAAAAACAGAAACTTCAAGAGACATTAGCGATAAGGGAGAAAGAAAGGGAAGAATTAATGAACCAGCTGCATTCGACTGGAGTCAAAAGCACCAGGGACGAAAGGTAAGAAGTCCTAAATGTTTTGCATGTTCGTTTGTATTGATTAAGGGTTGTAAATCATAGATCTGGAAAAAATGAAACGAGTAGAAGGAAAATGAAATTTTTTGCGTTAACTGAAAACAAAGAAGAACAGACAACAGATGTCGCGTAAGTTTTATATGTTTCAAATTTCCTAGTATTAACTTACTATTACAAGTAATTGAGGACATATATCTAGATAGCATGACAAAGTTATATTTCTTATTTCTAAAGTGCATTATAATTTGTCGCTAATTTGTATCCAAATCCAAAACTTTGTCACTCCAATCAGTTATTAGAAAATTGTAGACGAAATTATAGCCTGATATCAAGTTAGTACTAAACATACTATATCTTGAAATGGAAGCGACAAAGAGAAATACTTTAAGGACTATAATTTGTCGCTGAAAGGTAGTACTTTTACCCATTTTGTCGTTAATCATCCTTAAGCTGTCAGGCTAGCATATCTCGAATTAGAAATAGCTCAAATGCTATAATTTAACGTTAATTTGTATCCAAATCCAAAACTTTGTCATTCCAATCAGTTATTAGAAAATTGTAGACGAAATTATAGCCTGATATCAAGTTAGTACTAAACGTACTGTATCTTGAAATGGAAGCGACAAAGAGAAATACTTTAAGGACTATAATTTGTCGCTGAAAGATAGTACTTTTACTCATTTTGTTGTTAGTCTCATCCTTGAGCTGCCAGGCTGGTACTATACATAGCATATCTCGAATTAGAAGTATCCTGAATGCTATTATTTGTCTCTAAATTGGTTGCAGTGACAAATTTTTGGATTCGGTAACAAATGAGCGACAAATTGACGACAAATTCTAGTGCGATTTAGAAATAAAAAATATACATTTGTCGATCATTAATCGATTATTTACATTTTGTAAAATAATCTATCAAATGATCGAAACTTGCAATCATATAATCAATAATAGATTGTGAAACATAATCGCCCAACGTTAAAAATAAATATTCATAAAAAAAAGTCGACGATACTTAAAATAGTCAAGTACTTTTCTATCTTCAAATTTAATTTCATTTAGGTACATGTCCATGATTAAAGTACATCCTTGATGGATGTTAATTGGTGATCGTAAGTTGAGGTCAAGTACGCATTTTTTTAAATACGCGAATAAAATTCGTTAGTCATGCATCTGCACACTGACTGGATCGAAATTGACGTTTATCTCCTCCAGAACTGTTATGTTTAATGCATAATTCAGGAGGCGATCTAAGCATGAATTCTACCGTGAATGAATATTGCATGTACAGATGTACTACTTTTTCTTTAAATGTTTTTTCATATTCTCTTAAAAATTTACTGATCGTGAGTGAAGTGGACAAAGTTTTTTTTTATTTCATCAATCAATAAATAAAGTAAAACGTATTTTAAATACCTGTAAATACATTTTGATTGATTCCTTTAACTTTTTTCTGTACAGGAAAAATCAATTTTTATGAATTATGTTAATCGTTTTCGAATTCAATCGAAAACCGCAAAGATCAAGGATTGTCGATCAATATTATCGATTTTTAACGATGCTTAGGCAACCAAAGCTGCTCAGCTGTATGCTTTAGTCTAACAGTGACCTCTGTAAATCATTTTTTTTTTCAACAGTTCGTGCTTAGACTTTTAAAAACAATAAAAGTTTTGTTTATAAGCGAGAGTGGTAGTGGAAATGAGTTTGCTCTTGTGAAGGTCAGTAAAATTGTTTTGTGGTAGGGGCATTTAGTTTAATAAAAGAGATTAAATATCTCCGTCCTATTTTTAAGTTTGATATAGAATAATTTTTTTAATGGTAATGCAGTATCATCTGACAGAATAATTATGTGGGTATATAAATTATAGAGATTTTAGGAAAAGTAAAGTTTTTAGTTGTTAATAATCGGTTGTCAAAAATTAATAAGTTCATAAATTAATTAAATTAATTCGAGAAGGACAAAACATGCCCCAAATTAATAATAGTCGCAACATATGCGAATATTTTACACCTTCGTTATGGAAACAAGTGGGTGGTTTTTAATTATTAATTATTCAAAATACTGTTTTTGTCCGAATATTAAATAATTATTATATAACAATATCTACCTACGACCCACTCGAGTACCACGAGCCTTTTTTTCTTTACAAATTTATCAAAAGGGAATAGCACCCATTTCAATTTCCAATTTAACAGAAAAGTTAATTTCCGTTACTTCGTAGGTGTGTTGTATAATTGTTTTGTATGGGAATTATTGTAATTATAAGTACAGTTATAAGTACCCATTGGGTAGGTACTCTAAAATAAGGAATATAAATTGTTTGATGGCACAATATCAATCTTTATTATTTGTACTGCTTGTTTTGTTAATAATTTCGTACACAACTTCAAAAAAAATTTTGAAAAAGAATCACAATAAAACGTAACTTTTTTTCAACTTGATATAAATGGTATTAATGATGTTAATGAATGATTTTGCTATTAAATATCTCCACATATAATCAACCATATTTTATAAAATTCTAATAATACATTCATTGTCATGTCCTTCCACACACATTTCGAATTTAAACGGACTTTAATAGCTAATCAAGCTTTCGCGGCCATCGCTGATACTATTGTCAGTTTTCGGGCTTTTCGGCCGTCATTCGGATTTTTTTGCTCTTAACGTTTCGTCGACACGCATGGACGACATCTTCAGGAGTTTTTCTTCCTAGGATGGTAGGTCGAAATGTAATCAAACCCATTTTGTGGAAGCTTATATTTAATCATGAAAAGCTAGCAGACGAGCGGAATATCGGTACAATTCTTAATTTTCTTATATTATTACATTCATAATTTTTGCTTTTCAAGGTAAGAATGCGCGTTATTTTTCAATGACAATCAGCATTTGAATTTCCACGAGCTTTCCAAAGCTCGCGCCCACTATTATCCTTTTGTGTAGAGATTAATGTATACAATAACATACATTTAATATGTTGGGAGATCATTTATTGTATAATAAATAATCACGCAAAACTAATCGTAAACAGGTGTTGGCGCTGTTAACAATGTGAACTTCTCTGTAAAATTGCGGTAAGCATTAAATAATATGACGACCTTCACCTTCATTTGCTGTTTGCTATAAATAATATTTTGTGCGTATTTACGTCCAGGATGAACCATCTACTATTTTCTTATAACCCAGCTACCATTTTATTAATCAAAAATAGCCCAAACTACAACTACAAATTGCAAATTACGTTTCACCCCAAATGCAGGGATTTTTCGAGGGAGGCTTTTACGTTATATTGAATACAATTTCTAAATAAATCAATGTTTGTAATATCGAAAAATTATTGTACTTTTTCACTTTGGAAAATAGTCTACCTTGGTGAAACAACTTGAAGCGAGACATCGATGTGGTTTTGTAGTTAATGTAAAACCTTATTACCCTATGGGCATTAATTTCTTCATTGTCATTAAATTTTCAACACATTGTTCCAACATCCCTGGGCACTCAGACGCTAACATTTATTATAATGATGTTCTTTGATTCTAACATTTACAAACCGATCACTCTGACCTATGTATATCCCATACTTATCCAGTTTACTTTAAATATCCAGCAAGTCTCTAAATGTGACCAATATGTAACATCTTTTGCAAAATTTTCTTTTAGTGTTCATTTCCGTAGTGACTCGCACGTTATATGCACATTTTAGCATCTAGAGATGTTTTCGAGTGCTGTGTAAATAATGTACATGTGCATCATACATGCAACATGCTATTTTTAATTTACTGCAAAAGGAAATGGCTCATCATCTTTTCATTTGTGTCTTGATTTTCTTAAACAACGTTCATTAGTTAATGGATATGCATATTCGTCTTCTTCTGTGTAAATTGGCGTTTGACATGTATTATATTGCGCTCTGCGATCTACTATTATTAATTCCATCAGGCTCCATTGTCTTACTCTAGGAAGTCAGAGAGAGATAACGCATGTGTGTTTAATAGCGATGGTTCATGTATGTATTATTGCGAGCACAATTACGTTAATTCCCATATGTAAATAGTATAGCAGGATGTCGTTTACAAGTTTAGTATTAAACTAGACACAAAGCCGTGATATTGCCGACGGGTTTTAGAAGATTTTGAAAGCTTTGTGTTCAATGCAACATTTATTATACTATCTATAACAGGTGTCACATCAAACAATTCATAAGTGGTTTGCAATATCAGCAAAAGAAACCGGTGATTTCTAATTTATAGTAGTTGCTGTGCGTGATCTTCGAAATATTCTTGTATGTCATCAAGGTCCTTCAAATGTTTACGGATTGGTGATTAGTCCTGATTTTTAAAACACATTGACGACAAGAAATTGTAAATTCTTTGACGGAAGCTTTTGGTATTGAAGGATTTTAGTGTTTTTGATATTATCCTCAGTTAAATTTCAACTTTACTTTTATTCTTGTGTCTTATTGGTAAAAAATATATCGTATATATGAAGTGATTTAAAGGAATGTTTTGTTTGTAATTAGAATTTTATGTAAAATGGAAAGAATGAATGATTTTAAATTTTTTTTTTGTCTGAATTTTGAGCAGTATGAACAACCAGATTTCAAGACTTATTAAATTTTTATCGCTACCAGGTATATGTTTATGAAAATGTATGTTGATGGGTAAATGTTCGAAATTCGTTAAGTTTCCATTTGATTATTTTACGTGCAAGCCCTGTCAATTGTTCGTTTTACAGAAACTTTGCTTTTCAGCAATAATTGATTCAAAACTCAACAGTACATTGAATAGGAGACGAAGAAGTTTTAGTCTCGCGATGTCTTTGCTGTAAATACTGTTTGCGAAAAGTGAATTATTGAACAAAACTTTATTTCATTCGTAGCAGAAGTTTACAAAATATATATCGGTTTTCTTAAGCTTCGCTGTTTCGCTCGTGGATGCTTTTAGACATTTGTTTCGTGAATTTTGAAGCAGACAGGTATGCTGTTGTTGCTTTTCTTTTTAATTTTGAACGAAAAACTGATTGCTTTTCGTGAATTCGTTATTTTTCTTTCCATTTCCATGTGGCAGATGTATGATATGTATACACCTTATATGGTAAACAAACTTTTGTAGTTTTTCGCACATTTATTTTTAGAAAGAGTTAGTGACTAAATTTTTAGCTATATATGTATATAGATACAGAGCATAAATATGGAAATTTTTAATTTTTTCCCCATTTTTAAGGTTATTATCGCCAAAGGGTTGTTGTCCGATGACTGGACTAAATAAATGTCAAATAGAATTCCAAGGTGTATTACTTGTATTATACTTTCAATAAAATTTAATCAAGAACAAGGATTTTTCTAAGGTCCAATCGATTTCTCATCAAAAATAAGAAGATTTTTTGATAGACTAGCGCAATTTCTGTCTCAAAAATCGAATTTTAAATTTTCTGAACCAAAATGAATTAACAGGAAGTGAGTTAAGTTTTGGTTATTTCAGTTTTGTAAATATAGTTTCGATGTTCTTTGTTCTTTAGTTATTCATCAGTTATTGGATTAGGTCAGTTGTCTGTTCAACGTTTCTTTATGGTGGCTGACTCTTCTTGGGATCTAATAAAAAGAATTTTGAGACTATATTTCTGTTAGGACACTTTCACACTTCCTTATAAGTGATTTTATTCGACATGTATTCCGCTTGTCCTCTAAAATTCTTTCAAAAGGTCTACAAAACCGTGTCGCAGGTCGATTACGGGCACCTTTATTTGGTTGTGTTACAGGTTTCCTGTCGAAAATCCAGTTTTCTTCGCATTTCAATGCCTCTCGGAAGAAGGCCTTATTTATAATACGAGTCGGAAGCGCATACACTTCATATTTTATTTATTTATTTATTATTTATTATTAAATGTGCAAAGAACCGTGGGCGCGATATTAACCTTGCACGGTGGAAGATAACATACAGAATAGCAATTATATTTGCGTCGCCATCCTTGAAATTAATTAAGGCAGACGGTTCTTTTTTTTTTTCGCTTGGTTTTCGTCAAAGTTTTCTTGTTCGCTTGCCGTGTGTAACAGTAAAGACAAAAAGAAATACAACACAAACGCACACGCAATTGTAACACCTTCTGATCATTCCGTTTTGTGTAGTGTTTGTTGGGGATCTTGCACGCTACTGTACCAATGTAGTTCGTAGATACTATAAAGCGCACGTTAAATGATGAAAATAATAATGCGGTTGATTGTGATCTAAATTTTGTAGATGCCGGGTAATTAGGATTAATGATCGTTCGTGATAACAACCTGTCTGCAATGCGAGTCTTAACAATCGATCGGTTTTTCCGTTTTTTTAATACCAGCAGAAGAATCGCAGATGTGATGAAGTTGAGTTCGCAGACCGCAGTGTGATCTAGTCTTTTTGTACTAACATTAAGTGACATTTGTTGTTGTATGGACTGAAATTGTTGTGAGATGTATTATCATAATTATTTGCATCCACCAGTCACCAATAGGATTAATAGACATGGACTTACAAAAGTGTTTAGATATGTGGATAATTCCGAGTGTCAAATCCATGGGCCTACAAGTAGTCGGTAAGAGAACGAAATGTTCAGAAACTATTGGTCTTCATTAATCTCTTTGATTGGCGAGTGTGTTTTTATTGAATACGTAAAATATTGTTGGGGATGTTTTCTTATTCAGTAATACCTCAATCAAACCTTCAAAACTTGTAGTTAAAAAACTGATAACATAGCAGAAGTGGAGCAGTAGATAGATCCTTAATTTTTCGTAGACTAGACAGTGGGAAAGGATTCACGAAAACTGTATTAATTTCATTCAAATGCACTTGACACTATAGTTTTACAAATTATCAATCAGAAAACTCTATGTGCGTATTTCGCCTTGTGATTTCTCTAAATCGGTCAGTTTATACATGATGCTTTTTGACTCTGTGTCTGTAACCCTAAATTTGCCAGATCTTTTGTTAAAAATATCTAAAAAGTAGGACACTACATTAAGGTAATCCAAGGATATCCAAAAAGTTCAGTTTTGCTTACATTATAGCCAGAAACAGAAAAAGGCTGACGTAAATTCTACCAGATGGTATTTATTCAAAACACATGATTAATTACTTTTTAACTAAAAATGGGAAGAATTAATTGTTTATCTCATGTTTTTTATCCATTATTTAACAAAAATGATGTTGTTTTTATAATTTCTGCTTCTATTGGTGTGTTGCATATTGTGTATTCTTTTTTACAGGCAATACGCAAATAAGACTGTCGTTAATGGGTCAAATTTATCTTCACCCGCATCAAAACCTGTGATTAATTCTCCAAAACCACCCAACATGAATGGAAATGTAGACCACTACAGGTAAGGTTTTTATTGTTTTTTTCTGTTCTCGTAAAAAGGTTCCAACAGAGTATACACATTAGGGTCAGATAGATAAATAGGACATATCGCTATAGGGTTGAAAATGGAACATAACGTAAAATGGTTCCACATCAGGGCCATATCAGGCTGAATGAGGAATTTAACGTTAAAGGGTCGAAATAGGTTAATCACATAGGTCCTTATAGGGCATCCCGTAAAACGGTTCAGATAGGGCTAAATGAGTCTAAGTCTAAACAAGGTCTAGCGGTTAGTTAAATTTAATATTTTAATATTATCAAAATCTTTGGAAAAATAATATGTTATATCTACTAAATGCTTTCCGAAAATGTCAATAGCAGTAAGTCTTTACCATTCTCTTGTTACATTTATGCTATTACGTTTATTTTTGCTGTGTGTTTATTTGTGTTGTACCTTTTCTTTATCTTATTGTTCTTTACTTCGTTTTTTTTTGTGTCTAGTGTTTTGTGTGATCCAAATTATACTTTTTATTATTTTTTATCGGACTATTCTTTTATTAGTTGTTCTTGTGTTCATTAAAGAAGACCCCGATACAAGGCATAGGTGTTGTTGTTCGGTCCCTCATTGGGGTTATGTATGATAGGTGCCTATGCCATCGTAGAAGATGTCCTGGTAAATCTGGATTTGACAGGATGCATGTAGGTTTTGGCCTAACAAAAGTCTAGTCGGGCTTTAAAGGAATATTCCATTGAGTTTTTCATTATTTTTTAGATCATCATCATAAGGTCGTAAGACTAGTTGGACACGTACTCCCACTCTTTCCTATCCTGAGCTAATCTTCGCATTTCCTTAAAACTAGAACAACTCACATCCCTAACTATTTGCGAACAGTAATCTAATCTAGGTCTACCTCTACCCCTCCTAACTCCCGTTTCTGCCTCTAATATGTCTCTGACTAGACCTTCATGCCTCAGAAGGCGTCCTGCCAACATATCTCAACTATTTCTTATTGACTTCCATAGCTCTGTTCTCCTGTTCTTTCTAATACCTCTTCATATTTGACCTTTTCTATCCACGGTATCCTCCGTGCTACACATTTAACAATTTTTTTTGAATTTCTAAATTAACCGTTCGCGAACATAGAAGTGACTTCTTTTTATTGAAGCCGACTCGACCCTACGCTATCCTCTGCTTTATATCCCTACTACTCCTTCCATCCTGATTTATCTGACTTCCTAGATACCTATTTTTACCTATTTATTTTTTTTAAATAGCAGGCATCTACATAATCGCTCTCTATAATTATAAATGCCCTTTTGAAATTATTCACTTGTCTAATCAAATAAACAATTTTTTTTCTAAATACAATTTGTGTTTGTTCCAGACCAATTACAAAGCCTGTTGAAGTTACATCAATTCATAAAGAAGTGGTTTATGACACCGTGAAGGTGAGTGTTTTTGATTTCTATTTTTTGTTCAACTTCTCAACTTGGTTAATGTTCTGCTAATTTGGCGCCTGTTTGAACGATTTTGTTTCTTGAAATCGTCACTGTCATTCTATCCGAGCGGTTTTGATATAGAGCAGCAATTTGTAGTGTGTATTATTAATTAGTAAAGGCGTCCTCCGAGCGATTTCAATCAGTTTGAGTTGTCTGATTCAATTGAGATGACGTGTGTATTATTGAGGAATTCTTAAATGTAACGCAATATGAAATTTTGCAATAGTTAAGCGTACAAGGACTTGCTTTTGGTATTTAAGGGCTAACTTTCCATTTGTTACTTTTGAGCTATCGTCAATTTTTTTGACTTTGAGACTTGAGTACCTTTAAATATATTTCAAAAAGAGCTGTTTAATTTAACGTTATTTTAATCATTTGAAATGGTTTATGAGAAAGTTTAATGCGCCTTTTGATCTGAATGACAATGATGTCCTTGTTCAGTTGGTAAATTGTTTTCCATCACGTTTTCTACTACTTATGTATAAGATAATTATGATTAGCGCACTTATTTCAAAGTTCTTGAGGGCTTTTGAAAGTAAATAAGCGCAAAGTACAATACCAATGTAGAGAGAAAATATAGGAGAGAGAGGCAGGGGGACAAAAGAAGAAAACAAAAGGTACGTGTACAATTTTCTTAACATTGTTCTACCGTTTATAACAATACAAAACCAACTGAGCGAACAAAAGTGTCAATTAGTCTGATTTCTTGCGTTGTTTTTATGGTCGGCAAGGTCGTATAGTCTTGTTATCTAGACTGTCGAAGATTTATTTACTAGCTTTGTATGCCAATGTCGAAGGAAGTGGAAACTTATTTTCACTTTTACTGGAGGTACATTGGTACTTACTTATAATAATTGGACACTATTTATTCGAAGACATTTGTTTAAACGCGATACAGATATTCTTTAATTTATCGAGGCTTTTATCGCGTTTCGCCACGCTCTATATCTTCTTCAAAAGTTACAAATTTTTAATTTATCCTGACAAAACCACAATTTGGCGAAATCCCTTATTAGAGGGTGCCTCTTCCTCGATAATCTTTTGGTCATGTGGACATCAGTGTTACGATGAACTTCCTGGGGGGTTTTGAGTTTTCTGCATATGCAAACGCCTTTGTAGCCGTGTAGCTAATCGTCCCGCAATCTTTCTATATGAACGTAAAATGCCGATACCTTTGATTTGCTATGAATATGATTCATGTACCAGTGAACTACGAGAAAACAGTAGATCCAAATAGGTTTCCAAGTGTATAGATTTAAGGTATATTGAAGAAAATATGAATTCGGAAATTCTGGTATTGATTTGGTACCTACGGAATCTTTTGCCTGATGCGAGCCAAGTTCCACATCTCCAATGTTATTTTTATTCTTTTAATTTATTACACCTGTTACCGTATAATTTATTTTGAATCTAATATTAATTAATATTCATGGAAGATCTGTCGGTCGTAACTAATTGATAGGTACCTATATATAATAAATATATGTATTTAATAACAAAATTATTCACATCACGTCCCACACTCTTGCCATGTTTGTTCTGTGCTATTTATTTTTAACCCTTTACAAAAAAATGTCGTCAAAATATTGACAAACGCCATACAGGTCTTTACATCTCTATTTTGATAATTTTTTTGCTTCTCTTTTTCCAAACACACTTAATACTTAGTATATACGTCCTAAAACGGATTGTTACTCTAATACATATACTATTACGTTTCAAACAAATAGTTGTTGAACAAGTTTTTAGCACTATGCAAATACGTAGTTTGTTGACGATGATGATGCTATAGCAATTTTCTCGCGGCAGCACTCGATTTTAGCCACAATATTACCAAAGTGCGGACAGTTTGTAGTGAGTGTAATACCGGAAAAATTAACTGGACATTTCACATTGGACTCCATCAAATCTCATTACTAAGTTGATTTTAATACTTTTTGTTGTTTCAAATATTCGCTACAAAAAAAAGTAACAAGTGATTAATTATTATTATCCAATTACCGGGAAAGCTAACGTTCGAGATGACGTCGCGAATTTCGTCCCAATCTCACCCCCATCATCACCCAAGATTTTTCTTCCCAAGAACTGCATCGGTAAGTCGTATATCTTAATAATCACAAGGAGGACTTTAGGGTTACTTATTCGGGGCTTCGTACATATTAGAATCGAATTCGGTGTGATTAAAATTGAAGAAAAATATTGGTCATTTTTTGACATCCCTGACAGAAATTAGAGCACCTTATTCTCAATTAATTTTTGCAATAATATATAACATTATTAGGTCTAGATGACGTCGTACATCCGTACGATTATGTCACCATCTTGCAATATATAATAATTTTTCTTAGTTCAATGTTCTATTGTCAGACGTCTCTATTTTCTTTAGTAAAGGGGTTCTAGACCCTTTAGGTCTCGTCTATAACTACGTGCAGGTCTTACTTTACCTTATTCTTGTCGTTTTATGACTTTGAGAATGGCACTTAATTCATCAACTTTCTCATAAGTATATATGATTACAAATTACAGCAGTAATAAAGTTTATGCAGTAGGTACTATATATATTTAATTATTATTGGAAAAGTAAATATTAGTTTTACGTATCTTATTGGCACGTATACAAATTGTTCGTTCATTTTTAAATATCCGTGAAGTGCGTTATATGGAAATTAATATTTATATTTATTGCTGATCATGGTTATTTTATGGTTATAGATACGTGCAAGTTTTACGACGAAATTACCCAACAATGTGACGTATGTGAATTCTATAATTTTTATTAGGTACTTTGTTATGTTTTATGTTTATTATAGAGTTTGTTATTTGTTTTTTTTTAGCTATCATAAGGTGTTTTTGATTATCGGTAACATTTAGGGATAAACAACCACTTCTACACCTAGCAAGTTAAAATTAGGCATGGAAGACCTATAGTTAGTTAATACATTTCGTAAATTTTTCGGTTAATGTCAAAAATTATTGTTTTTCTGTGTTTAACAAACACAAACAATTAACTGTCATTGTTGTTATTATATGTTAATAATAAAGAACTTGTTAATTAGATTTGACTCATAAAAATCAAACGTTTGAGATAATAATAATTAAATTTATGTCTGCAAGTGGGCGTTTTTAAGCACATACAGGTTAGTAATGAAACGGTCATAAAAATGATTTTTTACCATGTGGGTGTTCCAGGTAAAAAACAACTTACAAAATTATGTTTCTGGAATGTCGTACACAGATATCTGTAAATTGTTATGAGTATTGTTCATCAAAACAATTGTCTGTAATCTTAAGGTTTATTGGTTCGTTTTCAAAGAGATTTGATAAGGACTTTCTTATTATAATGAAGAATATTTACGATTAAAGGTTTTTTTATAAATATTTGTTATATTGTAATGATAGTAATCAAATGATATGGAGTAGGAAACAATTTTGCCAATCATTTTACATATATTTTTATTTTATTTTGAAACATTTCGCTGGCATTTTTTGGAGAAACCGCAAAACTTATTATGAGTCAAGTATTATAAAACAACAACAATAAGTGTATTGTAATGGCTAAATAGTGATGATTTCATTTTCCTTTCGACCGGACAATGACGTCATTTGCATTGTCTTTGAACGCTGGTGATGTAGCCAAACAAAAAAGTTCAAAGGAAGAATTACATAGATATCTATTTCACCGTAGTTAAAATAAGTCCAGTAATCTATGTATATTTTATGTATTGCAATTGACGACAATTGTATTGTACATATGCGACCTCACGGCATCGTCAGGCACTGATTGCCACTTTTACTATTATCTAAAGTAATTTCTCAATTTTTTTAATGAGCCAACTTCAGGAGATACCAGTGCATAGGTGCGGGATGCATTTCATCTAATACGCTATTAAAACATGCCATACTTACCTGCATGATATCGTTATCACTTTTCTTTGAGTAACCGTGTAGCCACGCTGTAAAATAACGGAGGTAAATATAATTGTTTGATTTCACTTTAATAACAGCGACACATAAATGTGGTCACTGGAAGCTATTAAAATAATTGGTGAATGTGTTTTATACACATAAGCATGTATAGATACCATCGTTAGTAATAACATGTTGTTGTTGTGGTTCTTCATCCACGCATCATATTATCTAGATGAATGTGCTAAAACATTAATTCGTTTCAGTTTCTGGCGCCGGGTCGCACCGTTATCTTTATTTGTAACCTAGAAGGCGAAAATAATAATAGGAAATACAGGGAAAGTTTAAGACTTTTTGGTATTTACGATCACATCGCATTAGTTCTCTTGTTTAGAAAGTTAAGGTTTAGTTGAAGATTAATCTAATTCAAGCCAGTGTAAATTATTATCTCATTGTTTGAAATTGTGATAGGTACAAACCTACAAACGAATAAAGAGTGACCGATGAGCTCTGAAAACTGGCATCATTAAAAGAATAGGTTAAAAGCATTTGAGATATGGTTTTAGAGTAGAATGTAAAAAATGCCTGTGATAGGAAAGATTAAAAATGAAAGAATATAAATAAACAAGACATAAGCGAGATAGCTTGGTAGAACATCTTATCGGACATGAAGGAGTAGTTCGAGGTATATTAAAGGCAGAAACTTTAGTTTTCAAAAAATGCGATGATTGGCTTTGATAGATAGGAAGACTAAAGGTCTTATGATGACGATGATGATGATGGCGTGAAAATGAAATCTAAAAAAGCACGAGATAGAATCTCTTTCATATATTAAAGTGAATGATATGGCTAATCTCTGGAATAACCCATGGAGGGTAGTTAGATAATAATAATAATGTTGACTCCTGTAAGAGACTCGATTACTACAAATAAATAAGTGACGATAACATGTAATTACACATCCCTCTTTTAAATGTAATATTATTTGTAACTGAAACGAAATTGTGGTGGGTTTTTAATAGAATTTACTTTCTTTTTATCCA